ACTTCTTCAGAGCAAAGGATTCAGTGAAACACTTTCATGTCCGGCGGCAGTTTGGCAAATATTCCTTTGGCTTCAATGAATTTCCTTCCCTTCAGGATTTTTGCAGTCACTTTGCCAATCAGCCGCTGCTAGGCAGCGAGACAGGTTAGCTATATTTACAGTTCACAAACTGCTTTTCAGCACTTCTCTGGCACAATGACCCTGTTTCCTGTTTCACTCTTGTAACCAAGGAAGCCTGATAGTGCTACGGTTCCCATACCCACGGCAGGTGGAAGAACCATCCATTTATGAGACGGTGTGTGTGCATACGGCCATGCAGACAGGCCGGCATGAAAACGACCTGGTGCCTAATGCTCCAGCAGTAAGTCCAAGTGACATTATACAGACCTACATGCACACACACGTCACATACACACATATTTGAAAGAGTAAAGTTGAGTCTATGTTGTCAACAGCTTGGCACTAAAGAAGGTTATCTGGTTAAACAAGGAGCGATCATCAAGGTATGGTTACATAGTTTACTATATCAATATAGACTAATTAAAAAATTCAACCAGTGATTGCAGTAAATGTCAGTTCCAAGCTAATAAGGTAAATTGTAACAGGGTTAAACTGGTTCTAGCGCAAACCTAGACCTAGTTTTGTTGGCTGATGGTTTCATCTTTATTTATTTTCTTGGCAGAACTGGAAGCAGAGATGGTTCACACTGAATAGATATGAACTTAAATATTTTAAAGATAAAATGGTAGGTCTGTGTATTTTGTACAATGAGATTTATAATCAGATAAGAGTTAAAGTTGATTGTTTATCTCACAGAAAACTGTCTCCTCAGTTTGTAGAGCCAATACGAACCCTGGATCTGACGGAGTGCTCTGCTGTGCAGTTTGATTACAGTCAGGAGAGGGTTAACTGCTTCTGGTGAGAGATTTATAATATGGCCGTAATTCATGAAACCTACATTATGCACGGTTTTCTTTTCTTTTTTGGCAAAATTCACAATTTGAAAATATCAACTTCCTTAAATTGAAACTGTAATTACAGTTACAAACCTTTATCCTGTTGGCTGCAGAGATATTTTAGTATCATTGATATACAGTTGCAGTTTTTGTTAATTAGATTTTTATATTTTATTAAATTTGTTCTTATATTTTAAGTTTTAGTAATTTTGTTGCTTTTGTAATTCATTTTATTAGTTCTTTAAAATGTCTATATTGTTTTTTTTATCACTTTTTTTGTTATTTTAGTACTTGGACTTAAACTAAATATAAAAAAAGTTTACTTTTATATTTTGTATATTTGTATTTTTTATGGTTATATTTTTAGTTAACGATAATAACCCTGGTTTACTGCTGTAGTTCAACTTCAGAAATGTAATCAACAAGGCCAGTTCATTTCTGAATGGCATTTTTTTTTTTTTTTTAAATGACAGGAGTGGCAGTTAAAAATGTTACTCATAATAGAGATGCCTTCAAATTCTTCATTCAATTACAAAAGCAAAGTTATAAAAGTAAGACCCTTTACTGTTGTGCTAGACTAGTTATCCTGTTGTTTTTACATCTGAAACTTCTGCAATTGGCCAACCATGAAATGATTGGTTATTTTTGGCAACTGAGAATGAGCTGGTATATCTGCAGCATTCAAGTGTCTGACAGCTTACAGTTACTGTGCACACTAAATCAGCAGTACAATCTGCAAAGCATGAATCAAAATTCACATTGTCTGTGTACAAAGTAAACTAAGAAGTCATTACGATTTTATATCAGAATCCTAATATTCTGTTGTTAATATCTTAATGTGTATCTGATATTTTCCTACGTGTAAGTGATTCTTAGTAATGAGGAAGTGTAGTCAGAAACTCCTATACATGGACTTCCTCCTACCCACATATTTTCCAACCCATGCTTTAGCCTTTTACTTCAAAATAAATCTCATTATTAAGATTT